AATTTAACAATGATTATTTTGAGATCAAAAAATGCTTTCTTTTTTTTCTATATCTCCCAATTTTTCTACAGTTTTTTCCCTCCACCGTTTCCACCTTTAGAATCAGAGGGAAAAAAAACACTTTTAATGATTAGTTTAATTTGAATGAAATCTTTCCTAGGGTTGAGTCAAGGTGTTTTCCTCGGTTGAGAGAATGGACATTGTTAAGCATTAGCAGTTCATAATTCTTCTTCCTCACCAAACAATGAATAATGTGTGGTTACTTTAACAGCTTGCTTCGTGAGGCTAGAAAACGAAACTGGGCCCAGATTTCTTTAGAATGAATGTAAATTCTACAAAAGCAGTAATTTAATTTTCTAACTCACCTTAATGTATCTTCAGCATCATTAATATAATCACAATGCTCACTTTCTTTGAGAGCAGCAAACCAAGTAATTTTTTAAAAGTGGGCCTCAATTTTAAAAGGCTCGCAAGCTTTGAGATAGTTGGCTGGGCAAAGTCAACATGTAACTATTTGAATTTCTAAACTAAAGGGTCCACAGAGTGTTAGGATTCTTATGTTTTTATTTTTTAGAAGGATTTTTATTCCAACTCAGATTCGTTTTTCTTCAAATCAGCTGCAAGAGCGTGAACAAACTTTGCTGCAAATCAATGCCCTGACAGTTATATTTCCCTGAGATAATTGCATACTGCCTTGGAGTTTCCTTTTCCCCTCTGTTTCCTTTTGTTTTGACAACAAGATTCTGGGAAAACAATATACAAGTGATAACTCTGCTGTCATGAGTATACTGAATTTTAAAAATAAATAACTGTCGACCCCAAAAGCTTCCAGGAGCCTATGGAGTGAATTCTTTTTCCAAACTGTTCTCAAACCAGATGTGGAAATGTTTAGCTAATTCCCCTCCCCATTCCCCATGCAAAGAGTTCATATGTGTCTTTAACGACATCAGAGGCGATGGGGAGGCAAAAGTCCTGTCTGCTTTCAAGGAGATTTGTGTTATACATCTCCATTCGCTCACCAACATCACAAGACTAAGTTGGACTTCAGCTTTTGTCTCTCTTAAAAAGTATCTTCTTTACCCTGAGATTAAAAACGCTCTGTGTTTAGACCAATATTCAATCTCTTTCTTGTAAGACATTAAGAAATAGAGTTCATATTCCCAGAATGAAATGTTTCATGTTTTTTTTTTTTTAATGTAAAAGATGTATTAAGATTTAGGCTTATTAGGGAATTTTTTTAAAAGGGGAAAGAAGGAAAACTCTTTTGAAAGGACTGATGGAAACTGTGTATGCATAAACCACATTTAGAAAAACAGAAAGCTACTGTACTCTATAGCTGCAAGGAAAGCAAACATTTTGCATCCACGTGTCATTAGCAGCTCTGGATTTGCTGGCCTCTCTATAGTTCAGTTCAGGACTGGAGGTACCAATAGCTGAGCCCTGTTTGGTTATACAAATGCATCGAAGCTCATAGATTCTGGGATGTCACAGGGATAATTTGCAGTTTTTCTAACAGTCCAACCTCCTCTAAGAAGCCAGGGTGAGCACTCCTCTCTCTGCAGTTATTCCTTCCCCAAATCTCAACTCCCTCAGCTTCTGCGATGCTGTGCACAGACCCAACTATGGCTAAAAATAGCTCTCATTTGGCATCCCCGCACAGCCCTCTCTTCTCTCACCCCCTTCCCATCTTTAGCCCTTTAACCCTCTTTTTCCTCTGCTCCCCCTCACCCTGTAATCAAAGCCCACCCTCTCCCTCCCCAGTCAAGTCCAAGATCCCATTCTACCAGCACATCTCAGCTGGATGTTAGAAAGGGCTGCTGACTTGATGAATTCACACTGTGTTGTGAATGAGTTATAACCATCCCTTAACTCACACCCACACTCCCACACACACACCCTCTAACTTCCCTGGGAATTGCAGGCATTAGGGAAGGGAGGCTGCCCACTTCTGATGACCTGTGCTCAGCAAAACGGAGCAACTCCCCAAGAGCGGCATTAAGCTAAGCCTTAGCAATTTCATTAGCAAGTGCCTTCTGCTCTCTCGTGATGTCCCAACTCCTCCCTCTCACCTTAGGGATGCAGCCACTTTTTTTCCTTTGGTCACACACAGCTTATGGGATCTTAGTTCCCCAACTAGGGATCGGACCAGCACCCGCTGCATTGGAGGCACAGAGTCTTAACCTCTGGACCACCAGGGAAGTCCCTAGAGATGCAGTCTTAAACATAGGTCCCACTAACTTCATTTTTCAGTTTTATCTGAGCCCAAACTATGTTGTCACACACATTTATTGTTCCAATCTTGTGGCAATCTTGTGGTTACAAGAAAATCAGAGGAAACAAATTCTGTCCTATGCTAAATAAACTCCCAAACTCAGTGATGTTTACTAAACCCCTTCCTTCAAGACTGATTCAATGAACGTAATTCAAAAAGTTAATATTGGGGGTGAGAGTGAGGTAGTCTAAAATGATTGGTTGGGGGCAACTGTAATGTTTCTCAGACAATCTGGGCTTTTTATAATTCTCTTTGGATTAACCATGAGAAGGAGGAGAAGGGAAGATAGAAAAGATGTTCAAGGGAAGGAGAAGAAGTGGATGGCTAACTCCCTGGATGAGAACACAGCCTTAAACTTGGTCTCAGTTTTGGGGGTTTGAACAACAAAACTAGAGTGGAAGGATTGTTTCCCTGACCTATTCCAGGAAGTGCTTAAAAGGGAGGTTTTTGCTCAGGGCAAATAGGTCCAGACTGTGAGACGACATGAAGGAAGGAGGAAAGAGGGGGAGAGAGAGAGAGAAGGACACTCCTAAAGCGAGCTCAGGAGAAGGTGATCTTCCTGAGACCCAGACAATAGTGCAGCAGTGATGGAGTGATGACTTCAGCTTCCAGAAGCAACCTCAGCAAATACACATCATTCTGGAGCAAGTAGCTTGTTTATTTAGCTGCTGAGTCATTATCCAGGAGCAGCTGGCATCAGAATTGACTTGGTTTTTGTTGTTGCTGTGGTCATCATCACTGTATTTTGTTTGGTTGGTTTTTTGGAGGGTAAGAAGGTTGAGTGTTCGCTTTGTTGCTGCTGTTGTTCTTGGTTGATTTTTTCTTTTTTTTCCTTTTTTGCTTTGTGAAAAACAAACCAAAAAGTAGCCTTAAGAGAGACATTTCAGAACAAAGAGGAAAGGAAGGAGCCAGGTAAAACTCTCAGGCTTCTCTTTACGCCTCAATATCCTCAAGAGAATAAGGAGTCAGTAACAAGGGAGGGAAAGACAGCGGCACCAGTCAGATCAAGTGCTGACATGAAAACAAAACTTTTCATCCAGGCCACAGCACCTGGATAGTGGGCTCCTCTGCCATTAAAGAAAACAGCAAATTCATCAGTAACAAAGGAAGAGAAAGAGCTGCATTTTAGCAACTGAGAAAGAGGGGAAGAAAGAACTGTCTTAGGATGCTTTTTATTTAGCACAGTGCTGGGCACATAGTAGACACTCAATAGATCAAATGAGTTCATTTACTCAAGGATTACTTAACTCATCAAGGAACAAAAGTAAAACCCTGCATAGACATTTCCTTTGAAATTTTAGGCACTTTTCTATTTGATTTATTCTATTTTCATTTTTAAAATGAAAGCTGAGTTGAACAATATGTGATGATATTTCTGTTCCTTCCTACTTTCTTCATGTGTACCCCTTCTGAAGCAGTGCTTTAGACACTTGTTCTTAGCGTGACTCTTTTTTATTACTCTGCCTGTCACTCTTTAGGAGGTAAAAGCAATAGGACTGGGAAATGCCTAGAAAGCTTCCTATTGAAAAAGAAAATAAATTTAAAAGACCAGTGAAATAAAAGAATGTCAAGCAAAGCATATGACTCCATGAGGTGCAAGCCATGGCCACGGAGAACACCTTAAGAGATGCCTTGACAATCAATGTGTAAAGTGCAAACCCATGACTTGTTTTCTTCAATATGGGACTTTTGCATAGTTTTCATGTGTAATATGGATGGGGAAATGTCAAAATAAACCATTATGTTTTTATTTCTGCAATTTCACTATTTTACAAGGTGTCCTGAGGAATATATTAGGGAATCTGTTGGTTTTAATGGCCTATGATGCTACTGCTGGCATTTTTAAAGCATTCATTTGATCACTTTAAGTGAGCCACTCACTTGTTTGTTGGAAATAAACCACAATTTCTTGCTGGGTTTTCATTTAATTAAATTTGTTGCTAACCAAAAGAAGGCAATAGAGAAGAGTTCATTAGTATGGTATAGGGGAGGACATTGGGGCCTTCAGGAGGAAAGTGCTGTCAGCTTGAATTAAACTGTTATTTTCTATCACCTTATTTAATGTTTGGCATGAAAACAGTTTTGTTTTCTTTTTTGTTGGGGTTGCACACAAAAGAATGCTACTCCTAATCGGTGTAGACTTTCATTGTATATGTGAGGGAGTTGTGTTTTATACCAAAACAACATGGTAAAGTTATTTAAAGAAATTATCATAGTTATTTAGAAACCCAAGAGTTCCAACAATGAAATAAAAATTCAGTTCTCTCTCACAACAATATTTTCCTTTGTTTCTTTTTTTTCAGTTTTATTGAGATATAATAAACAAATAAAATTGGCAGAGGTTTAAAGTATACAACATGTTGATCTGACATACATTTATGCTGTGAAAGAATTCCCCCTATTGAATTAATTAAACATATCCCTCAGCTCACATGCTTAGCTTTTTTTCTTTTCAGTGAAAACATTTAAGTTCTACTCTCTTCACTTTTTTTTCCAATGCTGTAAGAACGGCCTCTTTTTTTTTTTTTTTTTTGGCTGCACTGCATAGCATATGGAATCTTAGTTCCTGGACCAGGAATTGAACCCATGTCCCCTGCAGAGGACGCAAGGAATCTTAACCACTGGACCACCAAGGAAGTCCCTGGCCTTTTGTTTTTTTTAAATGGTCATGTTTGAACTTACCATGAGAAATACAATGATTTATCTTTTGTGTTTTTGTGTGTTCTAGAACTCCTCACGGGATAGCTTCCTGTTTCCTGAGAGTCGTTACCTGAGAAGCTACCAGAATGAAAGTTTTCGAGCTGATAAGAGGGCTGATCATCCTCACCTCTGTGTTTTCAGCCTGTTTAGGACAAAATCCAGTGACTGTACTGTGCTCCACAGACTGGTTCATGGTCACGGTACACCCCTTCATGTTGAACAACGACGTATATGTGCATTTCCATGAGCTACACTTGGGCCTGGGTTGCCCTGCCAACCATGTTCAGCCATATGCCTACCAATTCACCTACCGTGTGACAGAATGTGGTATCAGGGCCAAGGCTATCTCTCAGGACACGGTTCTCTACAGCACCGAGATATACTACACTTCCAAGCATACCTCATCTAAGTATGTGATTCCAGTGTCATGCACTGCCCCGATATGTTCCCCATGGCTCACAACGCCCTGTTCCAGGAACTTGACCCCCAATGGAGAGATCACAACCCAAAATGGCGAGACATGCTATGAAGTGTTCACCTTGTCACAGTCCAGCCAAAGGCCCAACTGCTATTGTCTGCGTTGTGTCTACAATGAAAGAGGGCAGAGCCGAGCCCCACATCACCAAGCAGACAAATAGAAGCTCTTATGACCCTCCCATGTGTGCTTTTGAGAAAGAGCAACTCATGGTGATTTCATGAATGAGCTTTTTAGAAAAGTTTTTTTGTATATTCTTAGGCAAAAAATAAAATCCTGCTGGCATAGAAATATCAGTTGGGCATTTTTATTTCATAAACACATACTTTTACTTTTACTTTTACTTGTGTTTCATAAACACAAAGCTTTTACTATGCACCAGACACTCATCTAAGTGCTTTACAAATATGAGTGCCTGGTCCTTTCTCTAAGATGACTTCTCTCTCCTTTAAGGGCCCCCAATGAATCCCTCCATCTGTCTACGCATGTCCCTGAAACTCTACACCACCCAACTTAGCACTTAGCCACATACCTTCTTAATTTGATCTATCACTTTTCTGTATCACTTTTTGTCCATGGAAGGCAAAATTCATACTAGTGATTTATAAACCACCAGTGGTTCTAGGAATCACTCAACTCACATCCCACCAACTAGAAGGTAAACTCCTGAGGCCAAGGCGTAGATCTTATACTCAGTCACAGACCGATAGTACTCTGAAAAGTTGCCCAACTTATGTGATCAGAAATTTTTCAGCCAAGCCTGGCTATCCATTACTGTTCTCAAAGACTTGCAAAGGGAAGGTACATCAGTTTATTCAACAGTGAGTTCTCTTTGTCTCTTTTATAAGTGCACTTATCCCATTCATGAAGACTCAATTCTCATGACCTAATTACCTTCCAAGGGCCCCACATCCTAAAACTATTACATTGGGGGTTAGGATTTCAACATACAAATTAGGGAGGGGGGGAAAATACCCAGTATATCGCAGTCATGGCCATCGAAGAAACACAGCTGTTCACTTAAAAATCTCCTGCCCCTTCTTGAGGAAAACTAGGTAACAATCCCTGAAAACAATGTGTTCATTCAACAAACAACACCCTCATCCTATGTTCTGGGTATTATGTTAGATGCTGAACATGCATTGGTAAAACAGTATGCATTGGTGAACAAGACTAACACTGTCAAATCAGGAGAAGACAAGTAAACAAGCCTAAGGAGCTAGAAACTATTCTAGCCCAGAGAATGGGCCTGTTCAGAGGCCTGAGGATCAGGGATGTGGCCATCAGAGAAACTACAATTAGTTTAATCCAATGCAATTGGAGTGGAGGGCAGTTGACAGCGGTGAGAAATGGGGTAGAAAAGTAGCAATAAACAAGGCTGTGTACAAGAGAATGAGGACTGCCCTTCCCCATCCTTTCTTCAGAAGTTTATGGATTATTAAACACTAAAACACCTATAAATAACATAGCAAACTGTCAGTACTAGATATAGTAGGCCTGGACTACATGTGCACTTGACAACCTCAAGGGACAGTATTTGTGGAGACACCCCCTGGGGCTGTGCAATGTATCAGCCTTGGAGGACACTCAAGACCTACTTGCTAATAACAGTTGTTACCATATGCCTGATACATTATACACATGACCTTATCTAATCCTCCCAACTGCTCTGCAAGATAAAAATTATTTTCTCTGTTTTCTAGATGAGGAACCTGAGTCTCAGAGAAATTGAGGCTAGACAGTTAATATGTAACATCACTGGGATTCAAACCCAGGTTGGACTAGCTCCGAAATGCATTTTCCTCCCCTACACTTAACACTCCCTCCCAGAGAGGAGAAGCTTCCAGTTGGGTTGAAAGATCCAGGAAGATTTCCTGGTTGAGACCGGCAGTGATCTCACTCTTAGAAGATAAGGAGGAGTTGGCTAAGCAGAAAGTAGGACAAGGGGCATCCTTTATGAGCCTAAGAACTGGCACAGGGCAATTAAGTGCACTGTTGATGGGAAGACACATAGTGGGTTAGGGCTGTAAGTTAGGTGACAGGACATGAGAAGAACAAACAGGAGAAGGTGTAGGAAGAGATGAAAATGAGAATGATTTCAAGTGAAGAACAACAAGACTTCATTCATTTTAGCCTATGAAACAGTTAAATGTCCATAGAAGCCCCATTCCTGATCAAGAGAGAAATTGAGCTGTGCAGGCAAATTTGGAGTGTGACAGACTCCAGACCCTGGAGCAGAAAAGACAGGCTTCATGGAGGCCATGAGATTGGAGCTAAACCCTGATTGTCTGACAGGATATAGGTGAAAAAGAAGAGACTGAATCAAAGAAGATGTCATCTTTTAGAGCCCTGGAAGCTCAGAAGACATGGTCAGTTCTGGCTTTAAGCAAGGAAACTGGAATGAGGGTAGAGGATAGGGGTGAAGATGAGTCCGGGTTGGACAGGTTGAGTTGGAGATGATAGTGATATCCAAGGGAACATGTCCAGGAATTAGTTCAAGAAATTGAGCTTCCTTGAACTAGAGCTCAAGAAAAGGGTATAAGAGGTAATTACTGGGAGATAAAGCCTTGGGAAGATGACATGAATCTAGGCGATTAGGATCAGAGAATGAAAACTCCCTAACATTCAATCTTCAAGGCACAGTTGCAAAAAAGAGATAGAGACAACAAAGGATACCAAAGAGAAGTGATCAAGAGATGAAAGAAGTGTGACTCATGGGATTCTAGACCAGAGACCTGGGTGAGTTAGTTCTTCCAGTGCAACAGATAAGTCAAGATGGAATAAGCCTAGGCCTCATGGAATTAGGGGCATTCGAACTAGGCCTTAAGTGAGAGAGAATTTCATCAGGTGAAGATGGAGGGCGAAGGTATTCTAGGCAAAGGAAATAGCAAGAACAAAGATGCAAAGCAATATTGTATCAAGAATCATATTTTACCTGGGTAAAAATCTCTGTATAATTAGGTGTAATTTTTTTTAGAATTCAAGAGTAATCTGCACTTGTTTACTCACACATGTCATCATTACTCAGGAAAAGCAAACTTCAACCATTTCAGTTCCATGTTTGATCTTTTCTGCTTGATCATGGGCTTCTTGAGCATGGGAGACCCTGTCCTATTTGTTTGTTTGTTTGTGTTGCTTTTCTCTTATGTAGTACTTGGTGAAGGTATTCAGTAGGTGCTCAAGCCTGTTTGGTGACTGTTACTGAGAAAGGGCCTGGAAGTTCATAAGCATAGAAACCACTCAAAAGATGGGAAGATAAAAATGCTTTAAGAAAAAACCACATTTTGAGTTGGCTAATTTATTTACCTTTTGACATGCCACACTGAAAGGGTATTTTCTTCCTTTATTGTGGTAATGTCCATTTCACCTTTAAAGTGACATGATTTTATAAAAATCTACCACATAGTTTTAATCATATTTGTGATAATAATAAGAAATGCTTTATTGCCCTCAAAAGAAATGAGCATTTTCACATTCTGTTCACTCTCTGGGAAAGCCAAAAATGTTTGAAACCATATGTTATGATAATTGCTTGTCAAATATTTTAAAATATTTCACTGATAGAAGGAGAATCAAAGTAACACTTAAATTTTAATTCCTATACCCTGAAAACAGGGTGTTATAATACTATTTATAAAACAGCAAACCAGATTTTTAAAAAAACAGTATAAAGTATATATAAATGTCAAGGGCAAAAAGTCTTTTATCCCTAAATTTAACTAATAGGCCATTTTGGAGCCGCATGTCAATACTCCCATCCCTCCATTCCTCCATCAAGAATGAAAGCCTGACCAAGCATTAAACTAAACACAGCATGTTCACACACACACACACATGCGCACGCAGACAGAGGCACACACACACCATGTTTATAAGAAATACACTGTCCAAAAAAAAATTAAATACATCATCAAAGATCAAATGTTTAAAGAAAGCCTAATTTATGAAGTAACATCTTTTAATTCTTTCTCTCTGTTTTCTTTAAATCGAATTAGCATTGCAATCCCTATGGTTGATCTTATGATATATTGCTTAAAGTGTAATTATAGTTGTTTATTCCCATAAAAGAGAGAAAGAGAGGACAGGGAGAGAGACAGAGACAGAGAGAGACATATGGAGAAGACTTTCAGTCTTGTGACTTTCTACAACTTTTTCAGAAGAAAACAAATGATTTGATCAGATTTCAGCTTATAAACTTATACACTGATTATACAATTATAAAACTTTCTGTATTAGTTATCTATTGCTGAACAATGTGCATGCATGCCAAGTTGCTTCAGTCGTGTCCGACTCTTTTTGACTCTACAGACTGTGTAGCCCACCAGACTTCTCTGCTCATGGGATTCTTCAGGCAAGACTACTGGAGTGAGTTGCCATTTCCTCCTCCAGGGGATCTTCCCGACCCAGGGATCAAACTCGTGTCTCCTATGTCTCCTGCATTGGCAGATTGGTTCTTCACCACTAGCGCCACTTGGGAAGTCCTTGCTGAATAACAAATTACCCCGAAACAGGACTTTCCTGGTGACCCAGGGGGCTCAATTCCTGGTCAGGGAACTAAGATCCCACAGGCCATTTGGTGCAGCCAAAAAACAAAAAAATTTACCCCAGAACAACAACTAGTTATTCTCTCATGGTTTCTGCAGATCAAGAACCTGGGCACAATGTAGCCAAGTGCCTCTGACTCAAGATCTCTGAGGAGATGCCATCAAATTGTCATTTCAAGATGCAACTGGGGTTGGAGATTCCACTTCCAAGCTCACACAAGGGGCTGTTGGCAGGAGGCCTCATTTCCTCTCTGTGAGCCTCTCCATAGGTTGCCTGAGTGTTCTCATGGTATGGAAGATGATAATGACAACAAAGATAGGAAGTGGGAGAAGGGGGAGGGGAGGAGAGGAGGGACAGAGTCCAAGTTGGAAGCCACAGGCTTTTTGTAACCCAGTCTCAGAAGTGACATCTCGCCACTTCTGCCATGTTCTATTTGTTAGGGAAGTGACTCTGGAGGTCCAGCCCCTACATGAGGGGAGGGGATTACACAAAGGTGGGAGCACCAGGAGGCGGGATCACTGGGGACCATTCTAGTGATGACCTTAACTCCACAAATGAGACATTCTTCAATTTATCTGTATATATATAATCAATTTACAATCAATGGCAGGACACAGCCTGTGTGGAAAAATACATGATAAGTCACTGCTGTACCCTTGCCTCTGTCGGTTCTATTTTCCTTCTCTGGGGAAAATAAGTCCTACCAGCTGCAAATTACAAGCCCGACTGACTGGTGAAAAGTATTC